GATAATAGGCTCGGAGTAATTAATCCACATTGGGGATGGCCCAAACTCCCAATTAGAGACAAGGTTATCTGTGTCAGGATATCCAGGGCGATGCCATTTGCCAAGTTGTACATCGGCGGGTTTCTCGAAGGCACCGACCATATTGAGACCCGGGTCCGGGACGGTCCATTTCACTTTGGGTACTAACTTTTCTAGTGGCTCGTCACGGCAGTCTAAGGAGAAAGCTCCTATTTCGGTGGTTGGAGATACTCCATCGTCTTTGTTGTAATAAATAACGCCAGTTCGGTCATCAGTGCCTCTGCCAGGAGCAAATTTTGAACATCCCTTGGCGGGCGTGGTTCTAACCCAATATCTTCCGTTTTTCTTTGCCTCCTCTTCAGATAGGCCTTCAAGGATAACGTGATAGCGCTGGCCTGCACGGATATACTTAGTCACGTTGGGTTACGTGGGGTATAAATTGAAATATCACTTACCAATTCCAACGGCGATGTGGTCAGTTACATAAGGCTCTATTGGAACAAAGTCTGACCCAACAACTTGGAATTTGTGGCCGTCAATAGAAAAGATGAATGTCGTGGCAACCGACGTATTGATCAGTCTGAGAAGATACTTTTTGCCCTTTTTAGAGTGTTAGCAGGTTTCGATAATAATTTATGGTAGTGGTACTAACAGGTTTAAGGACAGTACGGTATTTCTTCTTCAAGTCACCAGTTTGGTCGTAGTCGCCTATCAAAATATTAGCAATTCATAAATTTAGCATTAAATTGTACACATTTGGCAGGAAATTTTACCCTTCCCGTTCAGAATTATACTGTCCATCGCAGGTGGCTTTCCTTCCAATTCCTTGTGATATTCCTCAAATGCACTACTGTGGAGGTGGTCCGTCATCAATAGCGGGTCAACAGCCTTATCATAGCCCGCTGACGTTGGCCCATGGATTGTCATTGGTCCAAAGAGCCCATCTGCATATTGTAGGGAATAATGACTGTGATACCAGCTGGATCCATACTGGCTAGCCTTGAATCTGTAAGTCATTGAGGAGCCTGGAGGGATAGGACATTGAGTGACCCCTGGTACACCATCGTTGAACATGTTTTCCATCATCCGGATTCCATGCCAGTGAATAGCAGTTCCGTTATGTTTCAACTTGTTGGTGACAGTAATTTCTAACGGTAACGGTTAGTAAGTTAACTTCCATGGTTTGTTGCATTTAAGTCAGGGTTAACATTACCAAGGTCATCTCCCCAGCATGCCTCTAGACAAGGTATTAGTATTATATCATACGTAAAGCGTATTTCTAATGTTGAGCCACTCACGAATCCACGGCCCAGGATATTGCTTATTGAACACTTTAGCTTGGTCAAACATTGTTCCGTCCATGTTCACAGACTCATCTGTTACTTCTAAGTGGTACTAAAGAATAACAGTTTAGATTCATTTCGATTTCCTTTAAGAGGGGCCGTTGCAACTTACCTTCCGTGTAATCCCTTGGGGAACATATTTATCATTGTCTGTGTCAATGTTATATTCTGTGATCTCCCCTGGTTTCGATCCAACATATTTTAACCAGTCGCCATTCTTCTTATTGGAATACGCCCAGCCTCTCATGGACGGATATTCACATCGAATGAGACGAGTGTTGAGATCAGTGCTAGGAAGAGGATTGAACATAGGGAAATCATCCCTGGGGACATTCCTTGAAGGGGCTCCGTGAGGTTCCGGCCATGCCAGCGCACTTCCGATGTAAAGAGCAGCCAGGCCAAGACGTTTCAGTGTGGAAAGCGGTATTAAATTGAGAGATGCCATGGTGCCACACTCAAAGAAAGAACGCAAGCATTGAAGATGCCGTACTGTTCTTAAATGACATTGGTACAAGTCAAAAAGAAGTAAGATGACAACTGTGGGTGATCCCCGTTATTTATCAATCTTGTAGATAGGCCTCGAGAAAAAAAAAGGGTATTTAAAACCTTCCACGAGACTGCGGATCCTATCACTAGACAAGAAAACACCCCTACATGCCTAGCATAAACATCAGGAGAGCCAGAGGCTAATAATGGGCATCTGCGGAGTCATAGCGATCCCACAGACCAGCCACGTTTTTCACCCTGGTCATCCAGATCTGGAGGTATAAAACCGAGTCAGAAATAATGTGGCTGCCTGGGTCAAGCAAAAGGAATATTAGACCGAACGAGATTCAGGCGGAAGGCCAGATCTGTTTTCATGGTTCTGAATAGTTATGGTTCTAAAGAAAGCAATTGGCTTTAGCATCCAAGCGGCAAACTTGAAGGAAGCCCGATGAATTGCTGAGAAATGAGACCATTAAAATCCAGGATTATCTGAAAAAGCAAAGATAAAAAGACTGGAGACAGCTAACAGACGCATTGCGGCTTGCAAGGCGATCCACCCGCATCCGATCAGTCATAACATGTCTCTCAAAATAACTCCTAAGTCCTAGTACAGAGTACGGAGAACAAGCTAAGTCCTTGTTTAGCTACACCTCCGTAATCATGCCACTTCATCCAGTGGTACTATGTACTCCGTATACAAAGAGGGATTCGCCATGGCACGATAACGAGCGGACATTAGTTATCACTTCTCGAAGAAAGTCAACGCTATACTGCGTGTTTTTTTGTTTCGACTGCTCGGGGGTGTCAAGTCCTTGTCATATGCTGCAGCCAAAAAAAGGCTGATATGAAGTTTGTCCCAATCATCATCGGCTGGGCATCCTTGTTCTCTATACGCCTGGCTCTCAGCCGCCAATCGTGTCCGGTGTGGATGGAAATAGAGACCTTGTAACGGAGGTTAAAACTGCCGCGGTCTTGTTTCCGGGCGCTCTCCCGCAGGGCCCCGGCCCTCTCTGCTCATTACCGTGCATCGTACAAACGAGCTGCTCGGTTTAAGCGACGTTTCCCCTTGGCTCAATAACTGTCCGGCTTGGTTGTTTCGCTGGGAAGGCCGTGAAGAAACAAGCTGAGGTTAAGGCGGCCGAGGAGTTGAGTTACTTACGTAATCACCACCCTTTCCCTCTAGTTAACTAACTCGACGTCACCCGTCAAACGTCAAACGTCAACGCATTTTGACGGCCAACAGCAGCATCTGCAGTCTCCCGCACTGTGGCTATGTACACACTTGCAGACCCGAGTGTTTGATTTCGCTGCCAGTTGACAGTCATCTCTTATTGCGAGGGACTCCCTGTCTCAGATGAAAACCTACCCTGCGTCCTCAAGCTTTGTGGTGTTGTTTTACTGATTTCCTATAGGTCAACAGCTTTCCAATAAATTCGGCATGCATACTCCGTAGCGACGAACGAAAAACATCGGGCCCTTAGCTTCACCAGTTTCTGTCTAGTATTCCCATGGATCGAAACATGTCATCCTCGTGATTCAGTCGGGCCCTGCATATTCAGCCTTGTTGGGAAGAAATCGGCTGAAGTTGCACTCCATACTACTCCTCCAGCCTCTTCTAACTGCGACTGCACAGGTTGAACTCTGGTATGCGCAGCATCTAACGAAATACTGAATTTGCTGGAAACTGAACTGCACCAGGAAATCTCCCTGTCATACCACTGACTGGTTCATTGCCGCAGATCTTGTACGCCACCAGCCCGATTACCGTCCAATCAACAAAATCCGGTTGTTCTCTTGAATAATATGGAGCGGGCTCGACATCCTTCACATAAAATTTTCCAGACAGTAACCGTGGTAAAGGCATAGTGGAGCAAGATGCAACGTTCCCTGCAGCACGATATAAATAAGCCTTTCTCATAACCTTTCACCCTTTTCTTTACCCCGAGAGACAATCCCTGAGCTTCGTGGTGTCTGGATCCTGCGGTGAAGATCATCACCATGGTAAATAATCCATAACGGAGCTGAGCTTTCCTGGGTTTCCTTAAACCGACTCTGACTGTGATGCATTGTCCTTGCGGAAGTGGCGAAGAGAATCAACTTCGCCGCCATCCTGTGCAACTAAACATACCATACTATATAGATAATATATGCCGTGACACTTCCCCATTTCATTGCACGAAAAATGGCTCAAAGTCAAGGAGTAGAGACAAATGCATTGCCACGAATGGGACGATGGAGATAGATGTTAGAAGTTAAGCCGGTTCAGGCTCCGGAAAATTGCCCGACCCTATGCCTTGAGTAGCCCACCCAATTGGAGATGGAATGTAGCTGGGGGCTGTTCTCCATACTGCTTACAAGTGCTTAGATCAAGGGACCAAGTCGATAATAATTTTTTCATTACAGAGCAAGAAGTAAGACAAGGTATATGACATATGGTACAGCACGCGGCCAAAATGTGGAGGATCAAGGAAACAAACAGTGAAATGAGAGCAAGGAGCAAATGGACTCCCAGTCATTATTATATCTGTCACGGTTTCGAGGCGATGATGAGATCCTGATCTCTCTTCGAGAATGTCTTGTCAGCAAAGTTCCACAGCATCCAGGAAAGCGTATAGTCTTACCTGCTTCTACACCCTTCTTAACTGATAAAGCATAAACACCCAATACCCATGTAAAAGACTAATAAGGGGTAGACAGCAAGGACCACCCGGTTCTTGACAACTCCCGAGCCACCCAAGATGCTTACTCCCGCCGCCAGGGACCAGGCCACGAGGACGAGATAAACAGGAATACGGGCTATAGTAGGAATGTTAAGAGCGCTCAGCAGCGCAGCGATAACCAGCGGGAATAGCGTATAGCCGATGAGACAGACGGATTGAAAGAATGAACTGAAAGTCGGCGTTAGTCGGGTGAGTCGGTGTTATACGGAGGGAGATAGAGCAAATGCATCACCGCGTAACGTAGACGAAGCAGGAAAAGTAAAATCAAAACTTACATATTCCCACCGAGCAGCTTGATCTGCAGAGTGACAACGGCTTCACCAATCCACACGATGCAGAATACTCCCGAAAAGACAAGGCTTGACTGGTCACCCTTGCCCATTGAAAGGAACATACTCAACAAAAGACAGAAAATTAATGGGCCCCTGACAGGTCACCGGACGTTAGCCAAAGGTAATATCGAAGCGATCAAGGGGTCAAGAAAGCCATACCAAAGATCCCAGTTTCTAAGCCCTTCACTCATCCCACCTTGCAGGACAACATCTGCATCTGGCAGTCTGCTCACGAGTCCGCGCAGAGCCCCAATACTCTCGCTGCCAAATCCTGTTGCCTCTCCTCGTTCCGCGGATCCTCCACTACCTCCGCCTCCGCGCATCATCATTCCACCGAGTAGGTATTGTGGCCAAAGAACTTGTCTCATCTTCTCCCATACTGCTAGGAGATCCCGGGAGAGCGTATCCCAGACAGACTCATCAATTGTATTTTGTGGTGCACGGCGGTCCTCTCCGGGTATGGATGAAGTGAGGTATGAGCTGGATACGGGATTTCGCGAAGCTCCTCCGGCAGCCGAAGATGACGAAATGTTTCCAGTTAACGGTGTACGGTCGGTCGTCGAGCCCAGCGGATCATCAGCTTCGATGGCTATAACGCAGCTGTTAGAACCAAATATATCAAGAGTTGGCATGGGATAAACATCTACCGTCATCAACCAGCTCATGGTCCAACACCGAGTCCTCGTCATGCTCTATGATAAATGGACTCTCTGTCCGAGGTCCTCCGCTGCCGCTGGCCATCTCTGCTAGGAAGGAAGGATTAGAATTGGTGTCGTAATAATTGGCTAGGTATCTATATCGTAAGTGCCGATGGCCGGTTGTATATGTTTCAGAGAATGGGCAAGCCGTTGACGTGGCTCGTAGGCAGCTCCGTTTTGCGATCGTTTCCCAGGCACGCCGTCTCGGATCCTCTAAGGAGCCTGCTGCCTATCTGTCTAAGCTCCAAACCCGACGTAGGTGGTCACCAAAGCGTAGAATGAAAAAGCTGCCGTTGCCTGCACTTGAGCTGCGGCCGGTTTGCTGTCCTGGCTTCGCGATTTGGCCTCTGGGGTTCAGGTCGGGGCGAGACAAATCAGTCACGTGACTGATATCACATCCAAGTTGCCGGCGGCCTTGGGGTCGTTGCTAGGAGTTGATATTAACGACATGACATTGATATTAAACTGCTACATGTACAATAATGAAGGAATGAATGTAAAAGGAATCACTCCAAGTACTGAAAGGGTTGATCAATTTGAAGCATTAAAGAGAATATAATAATCCGCAACTAAGAAGGAAATATGAAACAATTAAACTATAAGAAGCCCGATATCCAATCCCGAGTGCCTCTCACGCTCAGCTAGCTTTGATAGTAGCAGGATTCAAGCTAGCTATAATGCAATTATGATCAAAAACATGCAAATTTCAAAGGAGTCAAAGTGTCACGCCATGCAAACCCCCGTTACCCCTTATCCTTTCCAGCACCCGCCGTTATTAGCACCTTTAACCATCATTATACCCATGGAAACCCGATTACTGTTAGATGCAAGTCTCGCCAGAGTTCCAACACCAGATATATCCCCTGATGCGAGTCTGAGCCCGGAGAAACAAATAAAGCGAGAAGAAAATTCGTAAATAATCCGTATCGTGATAAGCCAACGCCGTCACATGGCGTCGACAACAACAAGAGTATCAATGGCATTGTCAACAAGAAGCTGGATTTCCATCTTCCACCGTTGATTCTGCCAGAGATACTTGGTCCAAAATTCCCAGCCGAACCTCCGGGATCCGCTGGTAACATCAAACTGTAAATCCCAGTCATAGACACGAGCCATTTTAGGAGTTGCTCCTGTAGGATTTCGCTTGTGGCTAGTTACTGCAGCACCCGTAGTACGAGTGTCTTCGGTATTGACTTCCATGCCCTGCTGGATCCTCCATTCCCGTTGAGCCTGCTCTCCTGCACGTTGCGCAACCGCTTCCTCATCCTCTGTTTGGTAGAGGCCACATTTGTTGCATTCTGTGCAGGCGGAACCCGGAACTATTCGGAAATGCTCGCAAAAGTGTTTGTAGCCTTCTGCCTCCTCGCCAATCTCGTCATTGTCAGACTCTGCATTTGCTGCACCATCTAGGAGTTGAATGCCCCCTCCGCCATCGTTGTTTCGGCCATTTGATTGTTGTCGACGTTTCGGCCCAAGTGCTTTGCGGCATATATAACACATAGAATAACCACACACGCAGGTAAGTTTGTTGCATCCAGAAGCTTTGACGAACGACAGTCCACAACATGGACAAGTGCGTTTGATAGCTGCCGTCCGAGCCGCTTCCACTGTAGTTCTTAGAGACTGAAGTAATGGCTCATGACATGTATGTGGATCGTTCCATGCCTTATGGCAACGCATACAGCTCGCCCGGGAACATGTCGGGTTCCCACATTTGAAACGCGGTGAGCGTCTCCTCAGGCAGATATTCTGCAAAGACCTGTGGAAAATGGTTCTTAACGCAGAGGGTGAAATGCAGAGAAGAAGAAGGAGAGGGAGTAGAAAAAACTGAAAAATATCAAGAAGTAGGATGGACACTGCTATACTTGTAGCGAGGCTGGCTTTGCGGAATTGCCAAGTTATCCCTTGGACCGACGGGTGAAAAACGGGATCTACCTCTGCATATGAGCAGAAAGGGCAGTGAATCAGTTTCAAGTTTGATTTGGCGAGAGATTCAGAGGCAAGACGAGCTTCAAATTTTCGGTATGTTTCCATTCCAGATCTCTCTTTCAAGATTGCTCTCTTAACCAACTCGGCATCCAGCGTCCCTTGGCATGTCCCGTTCGCAAACGGGGCGATACACCATAGAGTCGACTTCTCGGAACTGATAGACTTATCCCATCCTTGACCAAAGAGTGCTTCTTGAAGGGTGCGCTGTATGCAGTTAAAGCAGATGACATGACATGCCTCGGAGCATGTTGATATCTGTTCAAAGGTAACATCCGAGAGGCAACAATCACACTCGTAAAGAGCATCAACCACCTTTGCTTCTACTTCGTTCAGATCTTCGGCTTTCCTAAAGTCTTCCTCGACCTGTGTCTCTCGTCTTTGTTTGACCAGCGGAAGTAAGTACGTAGAATGAATCTCTTCATCTAACTCCGCACACCCCGTACTTCTCAGAACGGGCTCAGGTTCGTCAGTAGAACTTCTCTGCCAAACCAGGTATGGAGGCGGATCATTCTTATGCGGCGCCTTCTTCTTTTTGAAGGAGAACATATTCCCCAATGTAACACGCCATGATTTCCGAGATAGGTCCAGAAGAGTTGGCCGCGCACGAACATATGAGAAGTTCCCTTCTGCAAGGACAGCGTCAATTGTACTTCTGCTCAGAGATCGAAATTCTGCGGCCAGAGCTGCCCGGGCAGCGTCTTTGTATTGATCGCTCCGGAATAGTTCTTCCCTGGGAACTGGCTTGTTCCTAGCATCAGGGCCACCCTCAGTGGTAGAAAGGGTGCCAGTTCCCCCGGAAGCAGAAGAAACGTTCCATCGCCCCTTGACCCATTCTGATCGGTATCTTAATAGCTGCTCAACACTAACTTCCAGCCTGCTTTTGCCGTCGAATCGTGTAAGCAGCTCTCTGAAAACCTCTGGATGTATGTCAGGGAATATTCTAGCCAGTACATTCAGTGCCTCGTTACGTTCTCGTAGCTCACGGTGGTTCTCGTCTTCCGTATCGTGCGAACCAGTCAATATATCAGCTGCTGGAGTCGTGGTGGTTGTCGTTGTTGTAGTGGTGTTGGTGTTGGACTGCGAACCTGGAGCGAACGGGTCGCTGCGAAGGGCTTCTGCGAGGGTGGACGAGGCCGTAGGGGACAGCTTTACGGTGATAGCAGTGGCCGGAGAAACCACCTTTATAGATCTCGAGGAGGAGGACGCAGTTGATGGGGGCCCTGAAGATGATAGCGGTGCTGGCGTTCGTTTATTATTGCGAGGTGTCTTGTTGCTCAGGAGAGAGAGTACCATGATAGGCGATCTGCTGCCTCATTCCTAGGGAAAAAAAGCATCGATAACGAGAATAAGGGGGCGACAGGCGAGACGACAGGTCGACATAAAGATAAGTCTTGCAGGGTGATACGTACGCCTTTATATTGGCCTCCCGGAAAGAGTTCAACGCGATGTTGTCTTGAAAGTACTTTTTTTCGTTGAGAATCCTGGGTCATCATCCCTGGGTCAATGACGCAGTGCTTGCCATCAGCCGCATATCGAGATTACGAAGTTCCCCCCTATCACAAGTATTACATTAAAGAGTCGGAGGCCAGGTTGAATAGAATATATCTCCTAGATTTCAAGAGAAAATAAGAGAAAACGAAACATGGCATAAGATAAAATACACCTAGTCACTGAGCTTGCCGTGACTTAACTATCCTTGATATAAAAAGAGCTTCGTGAAAGAGCAAATATAGAAAACAAGACGGCCTTTCCAACAAAAATAGTGCGATAAAAGAGCAATAAGTGATAATTAAAGCATCTATACTGAGTTCTTTTTGGTAGAATCATTTACAACTTGCCCTTTGGGTTGGAGACGAGCTCAACACCAGCGCCGGCGATAGCAGGCTTGCCAGTCTCGACAACAGTGGTCTGGAAGACAACCACGTTGCCCTCTTTCCACATCTCTGTTCTGAGGGTCTGGCCTGGCAAGACGACACCAGCGAAGCGGACCTTGAGGTTCTTGAATGCGCCGTACTTCTCGTAGATGTGCTTGCCGGAGATACCTAGGGAGCAAAGGCCGTGGAGGATAGGAGTCTTGAAACCACCCATCTTGCTGAAGTCGGGGTCAAGGTGGAGAGGGTTGCGGTCACCGTTGAGACGGTATAGAGCAGCCTGGTCTTCGCCGGTCTTCTCCTCGACAACAGCATCGGCCTTGCGCTGCGGTGGCTTGTAGGCAGCGGTGGCAGCAGCTGGGCGGGAAGCTGTAGACTTGTTTGCGCCGCCGAATCCACCGCTTCCACGGATAAACATAGTGAACTCGTTGTAGAAGAGATCTTCACCAGTCTTTGCATTCTTGGTGGTGTAACCCATGACAACAATAGCGGCGTTACCTTTGTCGATAACATCGATGAGCTTGGGGTATGTGGTGGTCTTAGCCTCCGTTGGGATTGGGTACTTCCTGATCTCGAGGTACTGTTCACCGTGAAGGAGCATCATGGGCGAAAAGTTGGCAACAATGTCACCCAGGTTCCAGGGGACAGCAGTGTTGAACCATGGAATAACACCATAGGTAGGCAGAGCCTGGAACTCATCATGGTTCTCATACACGAGCGGAAGCTGAGTCCTCTTGGCTCCAACGCTCAGACTGTAAAGAATAATATCCTTATCAGCGTAGTCAAAGGGAGTTCCCTCTGCCTTCATCTCCTTAGCCTTGGAGATGTTGTCCAAAATGGTCTGGTCGCCACCACTGGGGGCCTCTTCCTTCTTAGATTCACCGACCTTGTTGTTGATGTTGGCCATGATACTCTCAGTACCGGCAAGAGTGTCATCAGGATGGTCAGCACGGCCATCGTCAAAGTCGATGATCTTAGACCAGGTTTTGGCAACATCCTCAATGGTAAGCTCGGCATCGACAGGGAAACCGTGACCTCCAGACCGTTGCCATCTGGTCTTACCAGTCCATCCACTGCCACACTCATAGAGGCCCTTGGTAGTAGGCTCAGGAAGGAGCTCAGAGCAAAGAAGGACAACTAGAGGAGCAACTTGGTTGGGGCTTAAGGCCTGGACAAGCTCCTCAGGCATGATGGTTCTGGTCATGTCGGTACCGGCGTTGGGGGCGATGGTATTGACACGGATGTTGTACTTAGCACCCTCCAGAGCGAGGGTACGAGAGAGACCAAGGATTCCGAGTTTCTATAACTTATCAACATTGAATCCAAAGACAAAGGGAAAAGAGATTTGTAATACTTACAGCCGATGCGTAGTTGGCTTGGCCAAAGTTTCCGTAGATACCGCTGGTAGAGGTAGTGTTGACAACACGGCCAAACTTCTGCTTCAAGAAATAGGGCCAAGCAGCCTTGGTGACGCTGTAGGTACCTCGGAGGTGGACATTCACAACCGAAGTCCAAAGCTTGTCATCCATGTTGGTGAAGGCTTTATCACGCAAGTTACCAGCGTTGTTGATAACAATATCAATGCGGCCGAAGTTGTCAATAGCAGTCTTAATGATGGCTGGACCATCCTCACAGGAGGCCTTGGATCCAACGGCCTTGCCGCCAGCCTTTTTGATTTCCTGAACTACTGGCTCAGGGTCCATAAGGTCGTTGACAACAACGGAGGCACCATACTTAGCAAACATGAGTGCATACGATCGCCCAAGACTAAAATACTAGTTAGAGTTGATGTTTTGGCACTTGATAACGAGCTATCACTTACCCAGCTCCAGCTCCAGTAACCAAAGCGACCTTTCCAGTGAAGTCCGGCTGCTCAGCAGGAGGGTTAGCTGGTAGCTTCATGGACTCTTGGATCAACTCAACGTAATCAGCAGGGCCGGTTGGGTGAGTCGGCTTGGAGAAGTCATTGACATCCTCCCATCTCTTCAAAAGAGCACCAGGGGTAAAGCTGTCATCAGCCCTCATAAGAGCACCCTTGGAACGCTCCCATCGGATCTTAGCAACGTGACCAGCACCAGCCTCGAATATGCTACCAGTCTCGGTGGTAGAGGAATGGACGAGGTATGCAACGATGGGAACGACAAACTCAGGCTTTAGGTTGGCCAAGAGCTCTGGGGGCATCACAGTTTCCGTCATGCGACTAGCGGCTACCGATTGTTAGTGAGGCTCTTATTGTTACCCGGGTAATAGTATATTCACACTTACCAATTGGTGCAATGGCATTGGAGTGGATGTTATATTTGAGACCCTCCTTTGCAAGAGTTTCGGTAAGGCCAACCAGGGCAAGCTTAGCAGCTAGTGATTGGTTAGTACATTATTTCTGTAACAATAGCACTTCAAAAAGCATACCAGAATAATTGGTCTGGCCGAAGCTGCCGAACAGACCGGCTGCCGAGGTAGTGTTAATAACTCGGCCAAACTTTTGTTTCCTAAAGTGAGGCCAGGCAGCTCTAGCACACTGTTCAGCTCTGTTAGCGACACCGTATAGCTATCGCATGCCCGAAACAGCTCTAGAATCATACCTTATACGCTCCAAAGAGATGAACTTTGTCAATCAAGTCCCAATCCTGATCCTTCATATTCTTAAAGCTGACATCTCTGAGAATTCCAGCGTTGTTGATCAGGACATCGATGCGGCCAAAGGTCTTGATAGCGGTATCTATGATCTTGTCGCCGAACTCAACACTATCGTAGTTCGCAACGGCCTTTCCGCCAGCTGCTTTGATCTCCTCGACAACGACATCGGCAGCCTAGATGGGAAAATAAACCAAATTGTGTCAGCACCAGAGCTCACCCGCCACAGTAAACAAAGGCTCAAGTTATCGGAAGCAATAGGATTTGACGTACCTTTGATGACTGGCCCTCTCCGGAATGTGACACACCGAGATCATTGACAACGACACCAGCGCCCTTGGAAGCAAAGTACAGGGCATATGCCTTTCCTAGGCCACCGCCAGCGCCGGTCACGACGACGACCTGGTTATCGAAACGAAGAGACATGATGAATAACGAGGCCGCAGTAATGGGTGTAAGGGAATATGTATCTGGCCTGGTTTGAGAGTGATAATATACAGGGAGAGGAGGTGTTTGGAGACAGAGCAGAAGAGAAACAGGAGAAGAGGAGAGTCGGACGAAGCGTGGGATAAAAGGAAGCCCGTTGTTGCTGCATCGACAAGCCCCGGCACGAGACTCGCTGGACCTCGGCTGCGGCGTTACAAGGCGTTACAAGGAGTTACCTTGGCGCGCCGTGTTATTTTTATGCAAGCATAAGTACCTTAAAGTACCGCAGCTTGTGCATCATCAGCGTTCACCTCAGCCAATCATCACTCAGCAATCACGATGACTCAGCTTCAAGGTCACCTGATGCTAGCTTTGCATGTGAAATTGATGCTGAAGGGAGGGAGAGCCAGCGAGGTATATGTGTAGGAGAGGATACAAACACTTGGGAGAAATATGCCATTCGAGTACAGCACCAGAGGGTAGATGATTTGCGTTTCAGAGTGTCTATTTACAGGCTGTCATGCTGCATTTATTCCAAGTACGGACTACAACTCTGCAGTACAAACTACATGACTACTTTTTAAGGACCGGCTACACTCAACCGAGCCTCTTCTACAGGCATATTTTCTTCTGCGACTTTTCCGAAGTATAACTAAGCAACATTTGGTGGTATCTCCATAGCCGACCCTGACTCTTCGCACTTCAGGGGACTGGTCACGTGATACTTAACCTCGGCACGTTTGGGCGTGGCCTTATCTGCGTTATCTTCATTTTGACTTTGTTTACCCCATGTTTTGCTCCGGGGGAACAGCTTTGATGAGCTTGAACAACGCTTAAAATGAATGCAACTATCGTCGACGATAAGTCCGAGCATTGCATTCCATTTCTGCTTAAGCTATTGGAGGCACATAGGCTGAAGTATGGAAATAGCCCCACCGCGCCGCCGTTCTTCGTAGGATTGAACGGTATCCAGGGCGCGGGGAAAACTGTCCTAGTCAGATACCCTTCTCTCAACAGTTGATATTAGCATCCTTAAACTCTCAATTGCTTCTTTACTGCATAGGGCCTCCTCCGATAAATGCTGCATTTTCCTAACATTTAAATTCTAGGTCTCTACACTTCGATCTACCCTCTCTACCACCCCCTATAACCTACCTACAATCACCTTCTCATTGGACGACATATACCTAACACACGATGACCAACGACATCTTGCTGCTACCCATCCATCCAATCCCCTTCTACAACACCGTGGCCAGCCGTCTACTCACGATATACCTCTTGGTAGCAAGGTGTTTGACTCCCTGCGGCGAAATGAGCCCACCAAAATACCTTCGTACGACAAATCCGCCTTTAATGGCC